TATTTAAAAAAATCCAGATGGTCTATGAATACTTTGTATTACGAGCATTTATTGTTATACTATTCATATATCTGCGTAAATTTATTCTAATCATAAACCCTATATTTTATATTAAAAATACAAATCACAAGCATTTTATTGTTGCATAGATACATCTATGCAATTGTTTGTTTCTTATGAGTATTTGTTGCCGTTGATAAGAGTTACATAATTTTTTTTATGATTGATTCAATGTTCTATCGAAAGACGTCTGATAAGATGAATAGAGATCAGCAAAATTGAAACTCAGTACCATAAGATCAATGCTCAATTGACACAATTACAGTAACTGATCGAACTCATATCCGTCTATCATGTTTGGATCTATATCTAATTATGATAAGATTTAGTTTTTGTTTTCAAACATTCTAATTATTTGTTAGCGTATACATTGATATTTCTTATAATTCAGCTTTTCATATGTAGGAATATTATATTAGTTATTTACCAAATGAATCAAGATCATTGAGAATAACATGTGCTAAAGTTGTACCAATTAATGTATCTTCAGGAATCGAAAAAATATTTTTATCATTTCGTGTTTGTTTTAATGTTTTACTTCCTAAATAGAATTATTATTATTTCAATTGAAATTTTTCTCGGTTTTTTTTTCTATTTTAGTTTTACCTTCAACTTTCATATGAATCAAAACAGGATTATCATTAATATCAATAATACGAATAAATATAATTGCATAAACAGGTATGAAATTTTCATAGGCTTTTACTGTTAATCGATATGATTTTTCTCTTTCATAATCTAATAATTTCTTTAATTGAATATATCCTGTTAAACGATCAATTATAAATGGTGATTCAGTTAAAAGTTCATAAAAATTTTTTTTATTATTATCATCATTAATTGCTTCAATTTTTAATAAAGTTGTACCAATTAAAGTATCTTCACGAACATCAATACTGTAAACAGATTGTAGAAATATTGGAATTGAATCATTTATTATACGTATATCAAGTTGAATTGAACAAGTACGTGGTTTAGGTTGTTGTCCATTATCTGATGCAGTTAGTGTTAAAAAATATGATGATATACGTTGACGATCAAGTAATGATCGTACAACTAAATAAGGTATATCAATTGAAGTATAATCTATATAAAAATCATCAGAATTCGTCCCATCAAGACTATATGATTGAATACTATTTAATCCTAAAGAAAAATAAATAAAGTTTAATCGTTAGAATATAAAAAATTATTAGCACAATTCCTGTAGGATTAAAATATGAAATACGACGTAGCTGTTGTTGCTAATTACAGGGAAATTGTTTTATTCTATCTATTTTGGTCTTTGTTGAGCTGTCACTAAAGTGTCTATTACGTTTGTGATGACTCGTTTCTAAGGACGGAATCCTTCTGAATCTTTATGGCTAAGATATTGAAATTTTACTGCGTTTGTTCAACAAAAAGCTGTAGTTTCTCCTCAAGTCACCTGAAAAATCGACTTTCGACTTCAAATTTTATACAAACAAAGGATGGGGGCGTATAAGAATCATTTTTGGGTCATCGTTAATATTAGTTGGTTCATTGTTTACTAGATGCAGAATTTTACGAGGAATCGTTTGGTACCAAAATAAAGCTATTTTGCAAGTATCTAGAAGAACTTTGTGGTATAAATACTGACATGCATTGTTGTGCTATAACTGTATGATTTATACACAGAAGGATCAGACATGTAAAATTTTCTTCAAGTGAGACATTTCACATCAAAAAATTATGTCAATCGATAATCTATTCTATAGTCTATCTTTAATAAAAATTTCAGCTCAAATAGTTGAAGCGTTGTTGAGTAATGACATAAATATTGCTTCAAATCAGCATGAAAATTATATAATTATATTAATATTTGTGTTCACTGTTTTCTCAATATCTTGACAAAGGAAAAAACTACAACATGTGCTTTTGATTGATTCTGAAAGCTCGAAAGAAGGGCTACTAAACCAAATATTTTCCGATTTTTTTAGAATTGTCCTTTGTTAAATAAGATGACGTGAATGTTGTTGGAACACCACTTTTTTGCATTTTTTACAGATCTTCGATATATTTTCATTGGAAAAAGTAGAGTTTGGGTCAAAACTAATAACATATTTGGAATGAGCATAAAAAGTTAAGTTAGTTTATATGTGTTTCAACGTTTTCCGAGGAACTTTGTTTCCCCCCGAAAAACTCACCTGGGCCCCTCAGATCCAGTCAAAAAATTGATTTCAATCAGAACACTGTCTTTATTCTTTAGTTATGTGTTCTTTTATGTTTTATAGGTTCAGAACTTGTTTTTCATTGATCAAATGGTTTTGTAAATAAAATCAATTTTTTGACGTAGCCCTGAGGGAGACCCCAGGTGAGTTTTTCGGGAGGAAAAAAGTTTATCAGAAAATGTTGAAACACATATAAACTAACTTAACTTTTTATGCTCATTCCATATATCTTATTGGTTTTGATTGAAATTCTACTTTTTCCAATGAAAATATATCGAAGATCTGTAAAAAATGCAAAAAACTGATGTCCCAACGAAATTCAGATCATTTTATTTAACAAAGACTACTTCTAAAAAAAATTGAAAGATATCTGATTTAGTAGTCCTTCTTTCGAGCTTTCAGAATCAATCAAAAGCACATGTTGTTTTTTTTTCCTTTGTCAAGATATTGAGAAAACAGTGAACAGAAATATTAATATAATTATATAATTTTCATGCTCATTTGAAGCAATATTTATGTCATTGCTCAACAACGCTTCAACTATTCGAGCTGAAATTTTTATTAAACATAGACCACAGAATAGATAGTTGATGGGCATAATTTTTTGATACACGAAAAAAAAATCAGCCTACCTTCATCAGGATCGTTTGCAATTGGTAAAACAATTCGATAGCCTAAAGGTACATTTTCTTTAATATGTATAATATGTACCATTGATTCAATATCAAATATAGGTGAATGATCATTTCGATCTTGAATTTTAATTTCAATTATTTTATAAATAATTGTCTGTTGAATATTAATAATAAGTTGAAAAAAAATTTCACATGAATTACATGAACATTGTTGATTTAAACACATTTGTTCACGATCAAGAATTGATAATGTTGTTAAATAACCAGTTTGATTATTAATTGTCAATAAATTTTTATTTATTGATATTAATTCAAATAATGAATATGATGCTGATGTTTTTATTTGAATATCATTTGATAAATCAGCAATAAAAGTATTTATTGGAGATTTTTCTTCAACGATATATTTCAAAATTTCTTGACTTGATACAGGTATAATAAGTATGGTGAGAAAAAAGACCATCAGTAACATGATGATGTATTTCAATCTGAAAAGTGAGAAGAGACATGTTTTAAAAAAAATTATGTAAGAAGAGGAGATTAATGTGACCTTCATGTTCAATATACTTAAACTTCAAAGAATAAGAGAAAAAAAAACGGCATCTTGTCTTTTTTTAAAGTGGACCGTTTCTTTTCTGTTTTTTTCTTGTTGTACAATTTTGATTTCAAATTTAGATGTAGAACATAGGTTTTTTTTCGTTTACCTTACATACTCGAAAATAACAATTCTCAGAATTATTTCATGTTATTATGTTTCTTCATCCGTAATAAAAATAAAATTGAATCATCTTACCAATTTTTTTCATTTCTTCGCTTCGAACACATTGCTGTTGATACTAGGACAATCATCGATCTGTCTGATATATAGTTAGTAATCACTTTCTTCGTTCATATATTTCAATCACTCAATATAATCGTTTTCAAGTTGCTTTTTTTTTGAACGAATAGAGAAAAAAATGAAGAAGGTCACTTAACGCCCGTTGGGCAGAAAAGAGAGAGAGAGAGAGACGAAAAAAACGAATATTGAGTTTTTCAATAGATTTTTATAATCGATGTCAATTTACATTCTGATGGAAGAAATCAAACTAGTAAACTTCTACTATTAATTTCGAATATCAAATGTTTTATGAGAAAAAAATATCGACACAAACTTTACTCCTATTGTATACTACTGTTTTCTTTTTTTCGTTCAATTTCAATTCATTCAAAGCTTTGCCGATCAACTCTTGAACGAGATGAGAAGAATCCACTTTATAGTTAAGTCAATAGAAAGAAGCATTAAACAATGGGAACTGACCTGTTTGTGAAAGAGAAAAAAAAATGACCATCAATACTACTACTACAATGATTGCCGACGGATAAAATGTATCTAAGTAGTGTGAATTTGTAAAGTGGCAAACCTTCTTCTTACCTTTCTATTCAAACGATAGTTAATACGTGTTCGGAAGAGCGGATATATATGTATATATACATAAAGTTTGATCTGTGACGAATTCTATTCATTAGAATATTTCTTTTTGATCTACGAAAGTATTCACTCATTTACTCAACATGAAAAGTAATACACTGGAACTGCAACTGTTACATATATATATATATGATAGACTTTAGATAATCATTCAACTGAAAGCAAGAAAAAAAAATAAATTTCATTGATCGATAAAATATCTTTGATGTAATCGTGTTAATGTTGAATAATAACGACATGTTTTCACTACTGTGTATACAGCAATATGTATTGAACACCTTTAATATCGAATTATGCCATCGCTCTTTTTTATTCAGTTTGTTCACATGTTTATTCATCAATTATTGATTGAATACATAAATTTTATTTTCTCTTCATAAGTATTTAGACACTTGATCGACAACAATTGAGACAGATGCGTATATAGTGAATGAAAAAAAACAATATAATTTAATGAAACACTTGTCTGTCTTCGTTGCAGATGGTTTGATTCGGTAATCCGTTGTGTTAATTGATAAGAGAATTTTTTTTTTATTTTATTTTATCATGAGACAATAGTTATTCGGGCTATATATTTTTTTTTGTTTTTGTTTTTGAAAAAGGAAATACAAATAAAGAAAAGATAACAATACAAATCAATCGTCTCAATCATATTCGCTTGCGTTTTTTGTCTGTTTCACGTTTTTTTTCGGCTTCTTTTGCAACAACAGCCTATAAGAAAAAAAATCAATTATTCATCTTTTAATAAGAAAAAATAGAATACAACTTTATCCACAGCAGGTACCAATAATCCTTGTGTTGCATATGCTTTGAGCATTTCAACAATAAAAGGTAACCAATTATGTCGTCGACGTAAATTTTCAATCTGTTACAAATAATTTAATTGAATACAAAAAAAGAGAATAATAAAGCAAAACTAACTCGATATGATTCTCTTTTACGTTCTTCTTCATGAATTAAAATAGATAAATGTGATGTTTTATCATTTCGTTCGTCATCAGTTAATGCAGAATCTAATCGATAACAAAAAAAAAAAGAAAAATCTTCTCCGTAAATAATTCATTTAATCTTTATTTTAAAAAAAACAAAAACCTCATAGGTATTGACACATGAGCATGATGTGACAATGGTGTTTATGTATAGTAGAAAAAGGCTTATTCAATTTCAACTATTATGTAATTTAAAAAGAATTTAATTGATTGTATTATGAAGAACAATTTTTGTTTTCACTTAGACAAGATTGTTCAAATGAATGAATGGAATGTTGCTTCGCAAAAGAGATACTCCTTCAAATAATATACAACTACTAAATGATTTAAGTAGTTGATTGCTCTGAAATAACTTTTCGTTTATTGCATTTCTTCATGTAACTAGTTAATTAAAAACAGATAAACAGTTATTCAATAATTTAAATAGCTGATTCTCTTGCATAATGATTGCTAACTATTTTTTAATGTGTTTTTAACCTTCACATTATCAACCGGTGCCCATTTGGACTCCATTGTAGAGAACAGAAATTTAACCAAAAAATATCTTGGTATTTTTTTCTAGCTTCCAAAAACATTTAATATTTTTCATCGTTTGAAATTTAAAGTTGACTATAAAAAAGAAATTCATCTTTCTCTCTTTTATGCCAATTACAAGTGTTTGATATGACCTCGTATCTTAATCAGTTAACAAACTTATAACAATCCATGTCGTATAGAACGGCTCGTAAACTACCTTGAAAATCGGCTGCCGTTATGATCTGTCGTAAAACAGAGAAATACGATGATAAACGATGACCTTTGCAGTAATCGTTTACGTATTCGTGGAAACGATTGTCGTTTTTTGTTATTCTCATACCATTTTTCATCGTTTCAAAAAGTGTTCTGAAATCATCATTAGACACTTTCTAATGATCTATAATCGATTGATCATTACCTATTTAAAAAAAAATCATCTTTTTTTCATTCAGATTCCTTTCACCATCTAGTTCAATATTAAGTATTGTATTTAAATAAATATATTTATTATTTTTTTTGTTTAGATTTATCTCAATTAAGTATTTAACAGTGAGTATTTCAGTTAAACAAATAAATTATGCTTCTTGTGTTTACGGAAGGTGAGAAGGGAATGAAATATCGTGCTTCTCTTCTCTGAGGACAGACGCTAGAAGATAAATAAAGTAGTGAACGAAAAAAGCCAGTGTAAATAAGACACTATTTGACAAGAATATTGCCATAATACTACTCATCGTTACTCGCCGGTAACGGTCTTAAACAGTATCGTTTACGTTCCGAGAAAAAACGGCTCGTAATCCAAGCTGACAGAAAATGCTGAAAAACGTTGGTCGTTTTTCATTGTTTAGGGCAGTAATTACGCCGTTTTAGGTAATTCCAGACATTTGGAATGATCGACTTGGGAAGGTACGGAAAATGTGAAACCAGCTCAATTGTTAGTCTGCAATACAATGAGTCATTACCAATCTAATTGGATATAGCTTCAATCTAATCGAAATAAGTTTTTGCTATGGATTAAGACTATTTGACTCGAGTACTTTGAAATTTTTACATAAGGATATCCAAAATGCATTAGCTATTGTTGATCATCCTATGATGGGGTACTCGTCGAAAGAATTAAGTGAAAACTCTACACGGTTAAAATGAAAACGATGTGCGCCTTTTGTGATCGTTCCAAAGACAAAAAAAAAGCTCGAAATAAATTTTATCAATGTTCAGAATATGCTTGTGATGAGCATTCTGTTAAAACGAATTTTTTTGCTTTTCTTGTTCTAAATAAAGAAAAATTATGATCCTAGTAATTTCTTTACAAGACTGAATAGGAAAATAGTATAACTTAGGCAAATATGTCGGTTTAATAATGAAAAATCACACAATTAAAATCTATGTCATCATATTATCCCCGCAAATAGAGTCGTAGGGCTAATATTCTCATTTCATATTATTCAATCCTACACAAGCCATCATTTTTGAAACATCTCTAATAGACGTTTCGAAATTCTATTCGGATAAAAAGTCTTACGAGAGACGTCTTTCAGCTGATTAATCATTTTTAAGTCAAGACTATGTGCATTACGTAAACCCTAATCAGCTATAAATACTCTGAGAAGAGTTCAGATTCTTAGATTATTACTGCTGCAATATTGCATTGTTTTTTCAGTTGAGTCTCTTTCAGAACACTAGAAAAATTCATTCTCAAATTTCGATTTAAAACTTTCCATAGAGATTGCGCTCACCGAGAATATTTTATTGTGAAAGTTTTAAATATTTTTTATCGTTCCCATCCTAAGATACAGCCATGATAGAAGTTTGTCTTTTATACTGCTCATATACATGGTAGACCATAAATAGCACTACGATAAAAAATTGAACAAACTCCACTTCGTTTCGCTTGAATGAGTTGCTTTTTTCATTAGTCATAGAAGTTCATTTAAAGTTTTGTTTTTCATATTCATAACATAAACCAATATTACTGTCAAGTTAAAGAAATTTCATCGATTGCCAAGTAAGAAAAATACGTTTAGAGTGTTTCATAGATACGTTTCAGTTGTTATGTAATCGAACAATAATAAGAAATCAAAGTAAACTATATTGATGCAGATCGAGCAATTGTTTTAAATTGGTAATGATTTTAAATGTTGAAATTCGTGCGCAATAAGTAAAACGCTTCTTTGCAGCTCTCTTTTTTTCTTAAGTCACAGTAGTATCTATTTATGTTATTCATATGCAAAAAGAAAACATTAAATAAGCTTCTACTATTAAACAAAAAAAGTAGCTCATTGGAACGAATTGAAGTGGAGATATTTCAATTTTTTATCGTAAAGCTATTTATGGCTCATTTTCTGCATCAGCAGATTTTAAGTTTTTAATTCAGAAAAAAAAACCAAAAACTTTCATGATAAATTATTCTTAATGAGTTCAAATTCTATGAAAAATTTCAAGTCGAAATTCGAAAATGAATTTTCCTAGTGAGAATTAACTAAAACAATGTCGGAAAAATGCAATATTTCAGCAGCGACAAGCTACGAGTCCAATGACAAATCAATACATCACTAGCTATCATCCTTTAATATCTACCATATAATCTTCTATCAACATAAAAATTAGAAACTGTCGTATTTGTAACATTGAAATATGTATTTCAGGAAATCAAATGTCAAGGAAGACTCTGAAATATTCTACAACAGACTAAGCCTTTTTTTGTTAATGCTGTTCAACGTCTTTTTTTTATTGTTAAGGAACAAAAGTCTGGTGCTTGTTGTCTTCGGTTGTTACAGACTGAAAAAGCCAGAAAACTTCAACTTATAACTAATACTTACTATTTTTCTTCGACAAAGATGTGAGTTCCAAAAAACAAGGTCATAACACAATATGAAATTTCCAAAAAACTGATCTCAACTCTAGAAAGCTGCTAATAGATTAATTCCAAATTCATTCTTATCAGACAGAAGCTGAGACTAGTATCGTATATCTAGATGTCATAAATCGATAATTGGTGTATCTAATAGAGCAAAATCGATAAGTTCAATAATGCGTTTGGACGCATATATATGTCTCCTATTCTCATGAAATTAGTTTAAAATTAGATATGGGCAAGATGAGCCTGAGTACCCGGAGCCAATACTTTATCATCAGAAGTGATATCTTGTATAATCGTGTAAAGCTCACGTCAAATGTCATATTCGCACAACGCATGCGTTCTAAAAGTTTATGAGAAAATTATTCAGTAATGATTACTTCAATGTTTGCTGTTACAGTTTTTTTTCATAAACAATAAAGGTGTCGAAAACATAAACGTGAAGAATAGACAAAATATTAGTAATGCATCTCCGAGAGGGAGGACATTAGATATCATGCAAGATGTCTCGAGTATATTGACACTGCTAAAAAAATGATATCGCACTTTTCGTTAGTATAAAGATTACTAAGCGCGAAACCAAAACCAAAAATTTTTTTTTTTTTGACTGAGACGGAAACAAAAAAAAACCATTAGTCTCGTTCATTACTATTTAAAACTCTTCCGTATCTTATATTTCTTTCGTCCATAGTGTAATAATAATACTATATATAAACTGATCTCTGTAATAAAAATGTTTCGTTTTAAAATATGATAAAATCTTGAGATATTATTTAAATTTATTATTACCAGCTAATATTTGTTCCAATTGTCGTTCATATTTTCTACGAAGTTCACTCACTACAGCCATTAAACTGAAATGAATTTCACCTTCACTATATCTTAAAGAAAAAAAAACAAAAGAATATTTTATGTAAAAAAAAAAGAAATAAATCGATATCTTTTGCTTACTTTTCCATACGTTGTCGAACAATTGGTCGAGCAATATCAGTCCATTCAGTATCTGTAGGTATAGCACCATGATCAATTGGAGCCTTGAGAAAAATAAAATATAATATTCTTATTCATATGATTTCAATTTTTGTGTTTACTTCTTTTAAACCATCAAGTTCATATAAACGACCTAAAACCAAAAAGAAAAAAGATTATAATTTATAAATCAAAATAATGAACTACCTTTAAAAGGTATATAAGCAATAAAATGAAATGCATCTTCATCTTTCTTTTCATCACGTGAGTCAAATTCAAATAATTGTTGTCTAAGAAGAAATAATACAAGAAAATCAATTTATTATTTAAAAAAAACAAATGAAAAATAAACCTTGCAAAACTGTTGTGTACATAACGAATTTTCTCACTATTTGATAAAGCTAAACCTCGCATCTATTTATTGAAAAATAAAAGAATAAAAATTTTCGAAAGATTTATTAAAATAAACTTGTGGATCAAATGCTTGGGCAAATTCTTTAAATTCACTTAATGTTGAACCAAGTTTAAGATCTTCATGAGTACAATTTAATAATACGGATACAATAGCTTGTGTTGCACAAGCATTTGTTATAACCTATTTATAAAAAACAAAATCATAAAATTAATTTAAAAAGAGAAAATTTTACTTGTTTAGCAAAAAATATTTCATCAAGACGTGAATCTTTAACCATATTTTCATTTGATGCATCAGTTTCTTGCCATTTAAATAAAAAGATCAATCCATGACATGGCCTAAATAATTACATATTTATATTTTTTTAAATTTTTCATTCGCAAGATTAAATGTGTCTACTTCATTTGTTGTAAACTATCATCATCAAGTGAGAAAATTTCTTCTACTTGAACACCATTGGCTTCTACAAATAGTTCAAAAATAAAAAGTTTTTACAGAGAAAATTTTCCGTACCAAATCCATTAATAAGATCAGTAAATACTCCAGGATCCGATTCAATTAAACACCATTCACCGGAAGCCATCTTTTATTAAATTGAATCTTTAAAATAATCTAGAATGACAAAAAAAAACAAAGAAAAGAAAACAAAGTTAATAAGGTTTTTTTAAAAATCAATGTTATGTTTTGCTCTATGTATACATATATATATATCTATATCTATATATATTGAAAGAATTCAAATTTTAAGAATCATCAATATCAGCGATACCGCGTAATTCTTGACGTGCATGAGTCCATTTTTGTATAAGATCTGTTGGTAATGTTTTTGCTGGTTTCTAATATAAAAATTTATTAAATATTAATTAAAATGTTTTTGTTTTTTTTTTTCATTACTGGTTTTTTATCTTTATGATGATGATGATGATGATGTTGTTGTTGTTGTTGTTGTTGTTGTTCAGATTTCATATTAGTCATTGTTGTTTCTGTATCGGAAATAGAAGACGTCGTTTGAGATGGATCACAATTAAGTTGAGCATAAAAAAGTTGGAGAGTTTGATCATGATCATCATTCGCTGATGAAGAAGGAAAATCAAATGGTGGTGGTGGTGAACTTGGTGGAGGTGGAGGTGGAGGAAGTGAAAGTAGAAGAGCCATGTCACTTGATGTTAATGGTGGTTTTAAAGGTTCTGTAGTCGTTCTAATATCGAAAGCAAAAAAAATAGATTATTTTAAATATATTCAACGAGCATAATAACAACATACGATAATGATGTGGAAGCAGTTAGAAATAATTTTTCAAATTCTTCAATTTGTATCAGAGCTTGTTCTAATTTACTAACAGCATAGGATTTGGATAGATGACCAGAAAGACAGTCTTCTAGACGTGTCTAAATAAGTAGTCAAAGAAATTTTATTATAAAGAAAAAAAAAAGAACAAATTTATAATTTACTTCTAGTTGAATTCGTAAAGTAAAAATTTCTGGTTTTTTATCACCTAAATCAATAAGACGTGCAATAGCAGCTCTACAATCAGCTTCAAATAATGGATATAAATCAGTTTGTTGACATTTTTTATCTTTTTTTTCTTCTTTATCAAGTACTTCATTTAAAAGTTCATCAATATCATCAACATTTTCTTCATCATCTTCACTTGTCTCACTTTCTGATGAAGCATATTCAGCAATAATACTTGGTTTTTTTAATTTTTTTGGTGATTTATTATCAGTTATTGATTGTTGACGTTTTTTTTCTACTTATAACATATATTTAATAGTAAAAAAAAAAAACGAGAAGAAGAATCAAACTTACTATTTATTCCCTCGGAATTTGTCGAACTAAATTAATTAGATTAAAAAGAAATAAAATTAAAAAAAGAATTAAAATTACTTTATAGATTTTTCAATAAGATCAGTTTGTGATGATATTGAAGGAGGATCCCATGAACATTCATTTGTTATTGTATTCCAATAATAAATTGATTGAGATGTTTCGTCAAAACATTCTTTCCATTCAGATTTTTCATGATTATGATTATTATTAGTAGCCGATTTTTTACCAAGAACAATCTCATCAATATCCTTTAAAAGAAAAATAATTGTATCAAATCAATTAAAAACAAACAAAAAAATATTAAATTACATACTGCCATAAAATCAGCAATTTTTGAATCTATATCTTCATTTCGATTCATTCCAGTTTCATTATTATTTTCTGAAAAAAAAATATATATAATTTTTTTTTTGTTATAAAGATTAAATCAAACCTGTTTGTTGTAATTCACTCGTCATTATTTCAATTCATTTATTATTGTTTCAATCGATAATGTGTCTAAATATGAAAAAAAGAATAATCAGGATTAATATTTATTTCAATCAAAATAATATAAAAAATTTATTCTTTTTCGTCAGACACTATCTATGTACCTTAAACATAAGATGTACATGATTGTATTCGATTTGAGAGAAGAAAAGAAAATACTGTGCTGTTCACCTCTGTCTCTATACTGCATACAAGCAGATAAAATAAAACACATTTATTAAAAATTAAAAAAAACATTTGACAATAATCAGTTAGTCAAATTCATAATTGATGACTAGATTAGGTTTTTTTTGAAAGACAGTTTTTCAAATCAATCCAAATGGAAATGTTATAATATTGATAGAACCTAAAATAAATTCATACATAGATAAAGATTTATTAAAAATAACATAAAATAGATCAACTTTTTAAACAAAGTTAACCGGTATTTAATAGTAGAAGTTGTTCTTTTTTCCTATTTCTTCATGGAGATGTGTATAACGAATCTTCTTTGTATACATACTAGATGTCACTAACAGACGATGCAACATTTAACCTGCTATAATTATTTATTTCAAAAAATAATTCAGTGCCTACATTTTCATAGGTTTTTTTTATCAGTAAATATATCTCTGTTGCAATAATATAGATAGAGTCCATCGGGTTGATCCTAGACCCGGGTCCGGAAATTTTCGATCCGATGGCCTCTCTGTACAGAATAGAGTAGGGTAAGAGTTAGAAAACATTTTTCATTCAGAGTACACGGTATGAAAATAGCTTACCCTGCATATGTTGATGGTGATACTATTTACGTAAGTAAAGTTAGCACCAGATTCGGCTTTTTTTGACCGGATTCGCTACACAACTTGGATTGTTTCTCAACTCATTTCAATTAGATGCAGTTTTTGATTCTGAATCCAATGGTACCTTTTTCGAAGGGATTGCTGACCAAAAATATCCCTTCGTAATCAAAATACTGATTTTTTTTAGAGTAGATTTCAAAGTTTTTCTTGTTCCGATTTGTTATACTAATTGGGTTATCTCTCAAATCACTTGGGTTAGGTGCAAAATTCAATCCTCCATCGATTGGCACTAGTTTCAATAGGGGCTATCGACTAAAAAATGCCATTTCTACCCCAAATACTGCTTTCCAACGGGGTTCTAGGGAGTATTCCCTGTCCGGATTCACTGTATGGCTTGGGTTATTTTTGAAATTACTTGGGTTAGATGTAGAACCGAATTCTACATCAATTGGTACTATTTTCAAAAGGGATTATCAAGGAAAAAGCGTCACTTCTATCCCAAATACTGGTTTCCGAAGGAATTCTATGGGACATTTCCTGCGTGGATTCATTTTATTACTTGGGTTATTTCTGAAATCACTTGAGCTAGGTGCAACATTCAATCCTGCATCTAACCCAAGTGACATCAGAAAGAATCCAAGCCATATAGTAAATTCGGACAGGGAATTCCTCCTAAAACCCATTCGGAAATCAGTATTTGTGATAGAAGTGACATTTTTTTACTCGACGACCCCTGTTGAAACTAGTACCAATCGATACAGAATTGAATTCTGCATCTAACCCAAGTGGTTTGAGAGATAATCCAACTAGTATAGCGAATCTGAACAGGAAAAACTTCGAAATCTACCCTAAAAAAATCAGTATTTTGATTACAAGAGGGTATTTTTGGTCAACGATCCCCTTCCAAAAAGATACCATTGGATTCAAAATCAAAAACTGCGTCTGACCCAAGTGAGTTGAGAAACAATCCAAGTTGTGTAGCGAATTCGGACAAAAAAAGCTGAATGTGATGCTAACTTTACTTACGTCATTTATATTGGAATTCGAATTAGGCATCTATTCATTACAGCATGAAGTCAATCATAAATGGGCATAAATTATTGATTCTATTTTTTTTTTGCTTCAATATAATTTATTATCGAACAATTCAAAATAATAAGGAATTAAAATAAAGTATATTCAAACTACAAATTTTTAGCTTATTTTTAATTTAAATCATTAAAATTTTAAAAAAGTTTAAAGCTTAAAGTTTGAGGTTTTCATTTTTCAAATTTTTACGACATACTCATAATGATGTTAAGAAAATTTATGCATTCAAATATAAGTTTAACTGGCTGCAATTTGGCTGACGAGGGGACCGATGCAACTGATAAATCGCTTTTGAGTTCAGACTCTGTGCATAAGATAGACCCTCGTGAGGTATGAGAAACCCTGAAAGGACAAGTGCCCATAGGCCTTCTGTCCAGAGTTCTAGGCATTTTATTGGAATTTTAGCCTATGACACGGTATATACCAATAAATCGAATGACGGTATTTCGAGCTGAGATTTTGCCCACAGAGGGGTCTATTTGTTAGTAGTATATCCTAAAAATTTCAGCTCAAAAGAACATTTTTCTCCCGAGATATTGCAGCCTCAAAAATCGCGCATATCCCACAAAGTCGCTAGAATTTCCTACTTTTTGGAACTTTAATATCTTGGGAAGAAAACACTCTTTTGAACTGAAATTTTCAGGACATTCTACTCACAAATAGGCCCCTCTGTGAGCAAAATCTCAGCTCGAAATACCGTCATTCGATTTATTGGTATGCACCATGTCATAGGCTAAAATTCCAATAAAATGCCTAGAACTCTGGACAGAAGGCCTATGGGCACTTGTCCTTTCAGGGTTTCTCATACCTCACGGAGGTCTATCTTATGCACAGAGTCGGAACTCAAAAGCGATTTATCAGTTGTATCGGTTCCCTCGTGAGTGCACTAAACGAGTGCCCTCTTTTTCCTTCTTAATTTCATGCAATTTATCTAAACGAACATTTAAAAAGGATTTATTATACTTAAACTAGATTTTCCTCATATTGGCCAACAATTAGTAGAACTTCATTATATACGAAATCCTATATATAATCATGTAATTCTAAAACGTGAGTGTGGGTGGATAGGTGTGGGGTGTGAACGTATTTCTTTTCTTAATCCACACCCACATCCCACACTCTTCGAACACAGCAAATTCGATAAATATTTATATTTATGAATCAATACTAGCAAGGGATGCTAAAGTAGCAAAAGCATTCAAAATTTGACTACTATACTTCGGAATAGGAGATTTTTATTTAACGAAATTTATCGTATGATATTGAGCTATTGTTCATCGAATATCTTGAATTTCAATTTCTGGATTTCAGAACATATAGTCAATATCAACCAATCATTTACTATTCGAAAAAAGGTAAAAATGAAAAGAAGCGAAGAAAACATGACATATTAGATACAATGAAAAACAATCCAATCATACATGACATCTTTCGATAGTTGTCTCATATTATCAGTCAAGATAGGTGAAATATGGCCTGTGGATTCGCGTTTAGTTCACTTCTGACGATCCTTTTAGACTGATTCACTTGACTAGTCTGTGACCACATGTGCATGAGTCATCAAATCAATGTTGATTGCGCTACGATGGGCGACATTTGATTTTAGTGGAACCGTCAGAAAAAAAAATTGTGATTAAAATGTATTAAATCAGAAGACATATTGTGCTATATTTTTCGTTTTCAATAAAACTGAGTTTCACGCAGATGAGGACACTGCACTACAGCCACGATGTGACAATAGAACAAATATAAATGAAAGATGTCTCTAAAGCAATTCTCTTGCTTTTAGTGTAACTCCTTGGTTTTAGTTTGTCAGAACAATTTTATATGACAAATAATCTGTGCCACTAATATACTTCATACGCTCAAAATATTATCTTGTAAAGATGAATTTCATATCAAGTGCATTAATAGATCTCGAATTCAACATTGATTGGCATTTCTCCCATTGCTTATTGTCACCATATCACATACTAGATATTTTCTCTATTCTTTTACGACCAAGCGGAATGTTTAAGAGACCTTTTTTTTGCCTTTTGATATTATTTCTTTTCTTCTTTTTCCTTCTTGCAAGAAAAATAAATTCCATGTGCTTGTGTTTTGTCATTTAGATTATTATCGATTAATAAAAATACTCTACATGGGCGCTGGTACTAGTATTGTGAAAAAAAATATTCATTTACCAGATAAACAAGATCATGGAAAATTAGCTTTTACTTTATCACATATTTTTTCACTAGAGGAATGTCAGGAATGGATTAAAATGAGTGAAGAAAAAGGTTATTCAATTGCTCTTCTTGGCGTTGGTGCTGAACGTCAAATACTTGCTTCTAAATATCGTGATAGTAGTCGATATATGATCGATAGTCCAGAACTGGCTCAGAAGTTATTTCTATGTTTGGAACCATTCTTACCACGTACTTGGAAAAATGGTCAATTTGAATTGATTGGACTCAATGAACGATTACGTTTTCTACGTTATGATCCAGGTCAGAAATTTGTTCCTCATACAGATGGCCAATATCGACGTCAAGATGGTTCTGGAGAAGAAAGTTTTCTTACCGTACAACTTTATCTAAATGAAAGTTTCCAAGGTGGTGAAACCACTTTTATCGACATGGATAATCCAAAGAACCGAGTATCATTTGCCATAAAAACAGGTATGGTACTTATTTTTGAACATCGTATTGTACATGAAGGAACAGCAGTAAAAGAAGGACGAAAATATACTATGAGAACAGATGTTATGTATCGACCAATAAAAAACAATTAATAATGAAATATCATCTTTTATTAACATAGCTATAAATGTTGAAAGAAAAAAGTTATGTATGTAATTGAACAGTAATAGGAATTGTTCAATAAAATTAATTGACAGTATAGAAAAATATAATATTAATCATTTTATCGAATAATGAATGATGTTTTATATGACTTTATTACACATACAATCTGGTACTATTTTTAAAGGGATTTCTGTCAACAATAAGTCGTCATCTTCATGAATATGACTATAAGGATGTTTTACCAAAAGGCACTTATATATTGAAATCTCATGAAAAAAAGATGTGTACAATGAACTCAATAGCATAGAAACGATGATTTTACACATCCAATCCTTTACAGATGAATCTTCATTTCAACTTTTTCGTAATACTATCTATCGTTGGACGAAAAATTCTAATGATGAATTAAAATATGCACCTAAAAATCGTCAGAAAATTCATGTCTGGAATGCTGTAAATGTGAAAAGTGCGTTGACTTATCACACGTTTAGACGCAGTCTTGATGGTCCATATTATGTTCATATGCTTGAATACTATCTTCTTCCTGCTGCTAGACGTAAGTAATGAAAGGAAACAGCGTAACATTGCTGTTTACTACTTCATTTTAGAACAATTTCATCGAAATTGGCGTGTTTATAGCAGGACGAAGATTCAAAACACACTAGTATTATTTGTAAACAATTCACAAATAAATATGTACCACAATTATTACGGTGGTCATCTAATAGTTCGGATGTTAATCCTATAGAGAATATTTGGTCGATTGTAAAATGCAATGTTGAAAAAAAAAGAAAATCCGAAAATATTGATGAATTTGAACTTTTTTAGCTGAAGAATTCCAACATATTGAATCTAATGTTGTTAAAAATGGTGTGATGTCCATGAAAAAAAGATGTTTGTCTCTTATTTCTTCGAAAAGTGAACGAATAAACTATGATGTTCAATAGTACTCGTGGTACACTATCAACTCCTATAGGAAACATTTGAGTAGGTCACATATGTAACGAAATACTTGTTGAACTAGTTGTGCAAATTTTTTCGCAAACGCCTGTGTTTATCATTAATATTTAGAAATCTCAATGATGTCCAAAAGTTACAAGTAAATACTGACATTTCTAGGTAGTTTCTGAAATTTACTATACAATTTTCTTGGAACTTTTTTCTTATGCTTCAGTAATTACCGAAATCACCTTCTCATGTGTTGATAATTTCAAAAATTTCCTTTTTCCAGAAATCTCAACAAAGGTCATTCATTGAGCTTCTATACTATTGAAAAAACTTTGCAAACAGTCAGAACACTTGATGCTAATACTCTATTTCACTACCATCATAAACTCTAGCAATTTTTTCTTGTATCATTGCTGTAAGACGTTGAGCATGTGCCCAGTCTACTACAATATCAGCCGGATAAAAAACAATTGAGAAAACTCTTTAATACCATCTTGATTGAGCGTTTTTTTATAAAAATTCAATTAGTAACTTTCTTGTAGAGGCGCGCGTTGGGGTTAACGGAGTGTCTCATTAATAAATCAGATTTAACATAAGAGACTCTTTCAATTTTAAGTCTTATTCTTTGATATTCACTAAAGAACTGATATGCTTTCAGAATTCGGTTGATGTCTATTCAAGATCTACACTCATGATAAGAAGTTGGAGTCAACATTGACTTCTACTTTTCCTCACCGTTTAGTGTGTCATGAGGAGACGTGAATCGAGCCTGTAAAATACATTAGTTTGCACAATGAATATAAAAACATAAAACTCATCATTCAAAAAAAAAACTATCGTGTTCAACCTAATCTACTGATAGGCAATTTAGGGAACAAATAGAACGATTTGTATTCTAATGTTCATAGGTATAGTCATTGGATTTATAACTTAGATGAGTATATGAAATCAGATGATGAACAAACGTGTAAACTATTGAAAAGTTAATTAAATTTTATTTTCCGACGGACTTTCCGAATACTCTGTATATATTAGAATTTCATATGTTAATAATCAATCAATCAATCCATCATTCCCTCTACTGAAAGGAGGGTCATACACCGAGTTGGGTTCGTATGTTTGTAACTTCGTTCGTTCGTTCGCACAGAATGGAAAAATGTTTTTTTTGCCTGCAGCAAAGTTATTTGTGAAAATGTAGACAACAATTGACTCCCCGTGTCAACAGGGGTTTTCCAAGATGTGCTATCAACCAATCGGATTGGGCGCCGAGCAAATCCAACCAATCAGACGTTTTTCTGATATGGGCTCTTAGCCAATCGGATTTCGCGGACGCAAAATCGAGCCAACTAGAAATTTTCTGATAGGGGCTCTTAGCCAATGGGATTCGGCAAAGCAGAAATCGAGCCAATCAGAGCTTTTCCATATGGGCTCTTAGATAATGGGATTTGGCCAAGCCGAAATCGGGCCAATCAGAGGTTTTCCGATATGGACTCTTAGCCAATGAGATTTGGCAAAGCCGAAATCCAACTAATCAGAGGTTTTCCCCTATAGGCTCTTGACCAACGGGATTTCGCGGAGACCAAATCGAGCCAATCAGAGGTTTTTTGATATGGGCTCTTATCCAAAGGGATTTGGCCAAGCAGAAATCGAGCCAATCAGAGGTTTTTCATATGGGCTCCTAGCCAATGGGATTTCGCGGAGACGAAATCGAGCCAATCAGAGTTTTCCCTATATGGACTCTTAACCAATGGGATTTGGCAAAGCCGGAATCGAACCTATCAGAGGTTTTCCGATATGGGCTCTAAGCCGAAGGGATTCCGCGGAGGCGAAATCGAGCCAATCAGAATTTTTTTTATATGGGCTCTTAGCCAATGAGATTTCGCGAAGCCGAAATCGAGGCATCAGAGGTTTTGCTGTATGGGCGATTAAGCCAGGAGATGTCATGCTGCGGAACTCCAGCTAATCAAGGGCTTTCCGATATAGGTGGTTACTCAATGGGGTTTCGCGAAGCCGAAAAACGGCTAATGAGAAGTTTTTCGATATAGGCGATTAGCCAATGAGATTTTGCGCAAGGGAAACTGAGCAAATCGGGTGTTTGTGGGTATGATCCATCAGCGAATGAGATTCCGTGCAACCGAAGTTCAGTCAATGGGAGTTTTTTGGATATGGGCCAACAATCGATGTGATTTGTGGCACCGAAATCGGCCCAATCCGAGGATTTCCAAGGTGGGGTCTTAGCCAATGTGATTTCGCAGAACCGAAATTGAGCCCATCGCGGGTTTTTTTTCATACGGGCCATCAACGAAGTATATTGTGACGCGATGAAATTGGCGGAATCTGGCATCTTTCGGAGCGGGTTAATGGCGAAGAAAATTTCGCGGAGTGGTACTCGAGCCAATCTTGTGTTTTGAAGCTGTGGTGTGAGAAAATGGGATTTTGAAGATGTGGATGAACTTATCGTGCGTTTTTGGGTTTGGATTTATAGAAAATGAGTTTTGAGGAGCAACTTTTCGAGGAGTGGAATTTCTGTCAGCGAGATATTTCCGAGGTCTGACTCTTGTCCACTGGGGTTTCTGGAGTTGCGATTTCAGCTAATGAAATGTTTTCGAGGTCTACTTCTCCTTCAATGGGATTTCTAGAATTGGGCTTCCAACCAATGAGATGTTTTTGAGGTCTATCTCTCGTCCAATGGGGTTTCGAGGATTCAGATTTCAGTCAATTAGATGTTTTTCAGCTCTAATTCTCATTGAATGAGGCTTTGAAGATTTGAATTTAGCCAATCAGATACTTCGAGGATCTCACTGTCGTCTCTTGATTCTTTTGCATTGGAGTTTCAGTGGATCAGATGTCCTTGGTATTTAGCGATCGTGTAGAGAGGTTTATGGTAATGTGGTCGGACAAAATGTTTTTGTTCATTTTGCCAGCAACGAGAACGCCTTTTCGGTACTGTGATGCAGGCTACTAGATGCTGTTTTGTCTTTGTCTCTTGCAAATACGTTTCTGCTTGGTTTTCTCGGAAGGCTGATATTGGCGTTCATGGAGTTCGTTCAGTGCTTTTTCTATTTCGAAAATAACATTCTATGAACTGTTTTATGTGTCAGTTCGTCTGATCAGTTTGCTAGGCGAGATATTTCAGCGAATCAGAGATTTTGGTATCTAACATTTGTCGAATTAGGTTTTTCATTCTTTATTTACTTCATGAGGCAAGTTTATCTTGTTTGACTGTTAGGCGTCGATTTTTTACCTCGAGACTGAGAAATCAGTTGCTTATGGAAACTTGCGTTTTGGTAGCATTGAGAGAAAAATATTTTATTTGTAAGCTTTCTCCTAACATCTGCTGCGTTTCCAATTTGACTGAAAAATAACATTATTGATAATCAGGTGATTTTGTGGATGATGCAAACACATTATTTCCGTAGATTTTATCAAGGAAGATGTCTATCTTGGAAACTACACTGCAGCATGGAAGGTACTAATGATGACTGGTGCTCTTTGCGAGCCGATGATGAAAGACAAACGCATAGCCCTGGTATCAGGAGCTTCTCTACTTATGTACCGCTAGAAAGATCCATGCAAAATCTAACACGCTTTATTTCAAAACCGTCTTCTATGACACTTCGAAGAAAAAGTTCCAATTTAGAGGAGGCTTTATGAAAAAAACTAAAAGTTAGAGTATTGTAAAATAATCAAAAGCGGAATCGACTACAGTGTGAAAAGCGAGATCGATGTTTTGTCCGAGGTATCCACAAGCGTGACAGCCGCTAGCTGTGAATGGCGTCCCGAAGGGGCGTCGACGAACGAGTAGTTGTTGATAGCAGTGGTTCACTGCACAATTGGTTTTGAAACGATCTCTATAGAACCTATCATGTTTTTGCTGAAACGTTTTCTATGACTTTTTGTAGCAAAAATTCCAATTTAGCGCGGGTTTCACGGAAAAAGTAAAAAGAACAAGACACAAGAAAGGCTTCGCAGCGAAATCATTTATTTCGAATCTTCTGTTGACATCTCTTATGATATAGACTAAAAAATTTTCTAGAGT